GGTCCACAATCTCCAACAGGTGTTCAGTGGAGTTATGATCTAAGGCTACAAAGGCCTTATAGTATTTACACCATTTTCATACTTTGCAAACCATCCAGTGACCTCTCATGCTCCAAGGATGGAGGCATTCACTCAAAAGGGACAAGTGACGTCCCACAGTGTAACAGATCCACTGGGTCCCCTCACTGCTGGAGTCAAGGGTTCAGGTTTTTCCTTTAAATTGTCACTCATCTGTACCTGCAGGGAGAACAAAGTGTTGAGTAAAAATGTGTTGTTTTTCCAACAGTTATCACTGATTCACAGCTCAGACTAGAGATTGCTCTTGCTAAATTCTATGAAGAGAATGTAAAATGCAGCTCTGGTAACCAACCACAGTGGAGACCAGAAGCTTCTCTCCAGTGATGATGGAAACCATCTTGAAGCAGGAGTTGAAAATCTCAAACCACCTTGTTTTTTTCTTCCCCCCTTTTCAGCTTATGAATGGAAACTGTGATGCTGTGAAAGCTGATGTGATCACAGAGACAGAGATTTGGTGAAAGACTCTCCCCTTTACTGTTACCTGGTGGAACTTTTTTAAAAGCAGAGATAAGAACTTCTACAAACCACAGCACCAGAAGAAGCAGGCCTTTGAAAAGAAAAAAGGTGGAGCACATCTTGCTTATTGCTGCAAAAGAGGCGAGGAAACATGAGAAAAAAATCGAGTCTTCCTTCACAACATTAAAGGTTGTGGCTGAGTATAGAGGACCTCATGGAGGACAGCCAGGCTGTGCTGGTGGCCTGAAGCCTCAAAGCCTCAGAGAGCAGAAACCACCTCAAACCTGCTTTGCAACCAGCACTGAGTCAGGAGATTAGACTTCATACAGCCTCGACATCCTCACCAAAACAGAGGATACTGAGCCAGAAAGAGAGCTCAGAGAAGAAAGTAGACATGAGAGGATGTTTCCCTGCAGAGATTGCAGAGCCTGAAGAAAAAAAACTTGTCTTAGCTGTTTGAATTGGCCGGCTAAAGGAAAACAGGTATAAACAAACAGTAACCCCAAGAATCCACAACTT